GTGTGATCCGTGAGAGCTACCAGAAGGGTCGTGACCAGCTGGTTCCTGTGACCCTGCTGGCCATAGCTGTCATCCTGGCATTTGCAATGGGCGCCATCTTCTCAGGCCTCATCGTTTACTGCGTGTGTGACCACCGGCGGCGGGATCTGGGCCTGACGGGTCACAAGGAAAAGGACAACCTCCACTCCCGCCGAGGATCAATGAACAGCGTGACCAAGCTGTCTGGCCTGTTTGAGACTCAGGCCAAAGACGGTCGCCCGGAGGCGATCCTCACCCCTTTGATGCATAACGGGCGACTTACCAATGGGAAAATGTTGATAAAAGCTGACCAGCACCACCTGGACCTCGCTGCTCTGCCAACACCTGAATCCACGCCCATGCAGCCACGTCGTAAACCCAGTCGAGGGAGCCGTGAGTGGGAAAGAAACCAGAACCTCATTAATGCTTGTACCAAGGACATGCCACCCATGGTCACCCCTGTTATTTCTACAGACCTGCCCCTGAGAAGCTCACCTGGTCACATTCCCAGTGTGGTAGTCTTGCCCCTGCCGCAGCATCAGCATCAACTTCAACCTCACCTGCAGCAAAACTACCAGCACGAGTACGTGGAACAGCCTCATCACAGCGACCTGAGCATGAGCCATGGTGTCATGGAAGACCAGGGGGCCACGCTGGAGTACAAGGCAGGAAAGAGCCACATGGTGGATCCAGATGGGGTGCTGCCACCTCGCGTGCCCCAACGAGAGGCCTCTCTCACCGTCCCTCCTGCTGTCCCACAGATGGGCAAACGCCTGGAGGTCCACTCGTCAGTGTACGGCCTCCGGAAAGGATCGGCATCTGCTGTTTCTGGGTCCTCTGCCCTCAAGAAGCATAACACCAACTCTTCTAACTCCTCCCATTTGGCGAGACATCACAGCTTCCGTGTGGAGACGCCACCACCTGCCCCCCAGAGGGTGGACTCCATACAAATGACAGCACAGGGCATTTCGCTATCACGGCAGCCCGGAGCGATCTCGTATGGCTCACTGCCTCGAACAGGCATCAAGCACCTCAAGCCTGATGTCCCACCAAAACCATCTGTAGTCTCACTGTCAACAAAAGTCAAGTCCAGTGACTCTGGCACATAGTCAGCTTTCAGCCCGTTAATCCAATGTGAACAGACAAACGTCAAGGGAGTTTTCCTAAGAGGACGTAAAAACAGGGAACACTGTACAACCGGCATCTCGTTTAGTGCTTTTGTTTGTTTGTTTGTATGTTTTTGGTGTACAGTACAGTGGAAAAATCTTTTTTTTTTCTAAGAAAACTTACTTTTTATATAAATATGTAAATATAAAATGGTTGTTGTCTGTTGCTGCTGTCACCAAGCTCATGCTTTGTCAACTAAAATGGGAGGAATGTGCTGCTGATGGAAAAATAAGACGAACCCCGTCCTGAATATTTCATCCGTTCGGCACCTTGTAGCATCCGAGACGGTGGCCCGTTGAGTCTTTGGCCGTTGGGACTTGGACACATTTTCATGCCAATAAAAGCACACGAGGAGCTAGCACGCAGGAGGGCTGAGGTAGGAGAGCGATGGTTGTACAGTACCTTGATTACTCGAGAGTCTGAGCGAGAGAGCTCAGAGCCACGGACTAAAAGGACAGGCGACTGCCTCATTTCTGTTGGAAACTGTGAAAAGCATCTCAGTGTTACAGCAATCAAGACCTGCCTGGGTTTTCCCTGAAAGCCCGGCCAGAAGAATCTTCTACTGTACTGGAACTAAATATTACGTGACTGTTAATACTAATAGCTTGTTGTATTTATTTTTATTAAGTTCTTTTAAGGAAAAAAAAAAACAAGAAAAAAATCAAACAAACTGACTTTCTAGGCTCGGACAGAGAGAAGATCTTTTAATATTAATTATTCAAGTGAGGAAAAAAATATTTAAAGTCATTAAACTGGAGCCAGTAGAACTTTTTCATTGACTAAAAGGTCCAGAAGGTCTTATTGTGTCCTCAGTGGGACCAACAGAGAGGAGGAGGTGATATTTATTTAAACTGTGCCAGACTCTTAATTTCATCTTCACAGACTAGAGTTTCCATTGTTTTGAACCAATCATAAAAGACCTCCTGGATCTCACCCCTTTACTCCTCTGAGGAGCCCCCCCACCCCCCACCCCCCTCTTCAACCAGCACTGTGGTTTTCTGAGTCAGAAACACTTTGTCCTGACTAGAATCTGGCTTACTAGTGCCATCCAAGCTCACCGTTGCAGCTGACGCGACGGCGCAGGAATCAGACAATAGACGCTGAAAAAGAAGCCGTAGGTGAGGCCGCGAGCTCGCTGAGCGCCGCCTCCGACGTCGCAGCGTATCGTCCGGTGACATCACACGGACCGGGCAGGCGAAAGCAACGAAGACGTCTGTTACGCTCACTTCTTTTTTCCACATGTAAATTTGTGCCTTACACCCTCAAGTAGTGACAATGTTTTCTTTAATAGCTGTTAACTTTGTGTCCTTGTTGTTTTTCTTTTTACTTCCTGCTTATTTTTCTCACGTCACGATATTTCCCTGGTTTGATATATGAAAAAAAAGCAATTAAAGAATGTAGGTGTTATTGTTGTAATTCTGGTTCATAGACATTAACACACTTACATCTGTTTTTTTTTCTCCTACAGACACACAAACACACACTTTTGTGGTTAATTTGTCATCGTGCCAACAATGCGCTTAAAGCAGCCCTTTATGTTGTGCCGGCTGTGTCGATGAAGACGTTGTGTTTTGTTTTCTTTTATACAAGTCCTGGTATGTGTTTCTCATCTGTTTAGCGTGATGGTCAGTTGACTGAACCGTTGACGTTTGTTACTTGGAGAGAAGGCCAAGTGTGTGTGTGTCTGTATCTTTGTGGTGCACTGCATTAATTAATGAAACCACCGTAGAAAACGTACAGTATGAGACACACAAAAGCCCCTAAAATGACTGAACAGCTTATTTCTTAAGCAGTTGCAAAAACAGGCTGGTTCCTGTGGAAGAAAAGCTGGCATTTTGAAGCAATACTCTAAACTGTTCTCCATTTAACCCCCTTTTGTAAGAAAAGAGAAACTGAAGATGTTCTGAGGTACTTTTTTTTTTTTTGCTTCACCAACTCATTATCCAGGCCTTAGGAGTGACCGAGCGTTTGACTAATGTGATATTTTGCTTGGTTTTATTTGTACTCTGAGATTTTTATTGATCACTTCACCCCTTCACCTAAACACTTAAACTGGAGCACTCTCCCAGTGTTGTATGTGTAGAACATTTTTCTGTTTCTCAATGGAGGAAAGCCAACAATGTGTGAAACCGTAGCTAACCCAAGAGCGACGTGTGGGATCTGGGATTTCGTTTTCAGGAGTGAGTGGATGCTTGTTGGGTTTGGCTCAAAAAGACGATTTACGAGGTAAAAAAAAAAAGACGGAGGTATGGCGCCCTGTGAGGGCCAGGTGTTGGAATGAAAGGATTATCAGTTTGTCTGTTTAGTAAAGTCATGTGCTTGCATTTGCTACATCAGCATAAGCGGGTGTTGCATTGAGCTTTGTTTCTGATGCAAACCTGACAGGGTGGATTTGAAACTTAGAAACGGAATTAAACACGACACTGGTGTTAAAACGAGCTCAGACAGAAATAATGCTCAACATTATCAGTATGATTGTTTAAAATGATCAAATACTTTTACATATTAGACATTTCAATGTCATTCCAGTACAAACGTGTAGGTTGGTTAATTTAGAAGATCTTTTTTATGTTTTTTTTAGGGCCGGGACTTTAACGCGTTAATTATGATTAATTAATTTTTTTTAAATGACGCGTTAAAAAAATTTACGCATTTAATCACAGCTTGCATTTCGAGAAAAGCGGAACCTTTGTTATTGCACGATTTCCTCGTAGACCGAATATCACTGATGCACACAACAATGCACAGTGCTAATGGCTACGAAAACGTAATAAAAACAGAAAGAAGTTGCCTTGCTTGGACTGATGCAGGATTTAGGAAACACGTCCACCTCGTTTCTTAACGTGGAAAAGAAAACTTCCAGACAACAACGGAGTCCGTGTCGCGGACATTTTTCAGAGATCGTCTCTGCTGCGGCTGCCCGGTGGCACCGGAAACTTTACAAAAGTTGCGGTAAGCTATATTTTTAACATTTACGTAACATCTGTGCAGCGCTGAAAGCACCAGACAGAATAATTCTTTGTCTTAACAGTAGTTTATGAAAGTAGTCAGACAAACGAGAGGCACCTGGCTGCCGCTGGGAGAACACTCCGTGTTCTCACTACTCTGTAAACAATCACAAACAACATGTCTTAAAGTTGAAAACAGAAGTTTAAGTTAAAACAGAAACACTCTAAAAATGCGATTAATTTAGATTAATTAATTACAAAGCCTCTAATTAATTAGGTTACATTTTTTAATTGAGTCACGGCCCTAGTTTTTTTATTTTGTTTTCAGATTGTTATCAACACCTCGGCGACACCAATACTAAAAACGACATGATATTTAGTCATTTTTTTGTACGTAAACCCAGAAGTCACACAGATTACCTGGGTCAAAATACAACTTATGTTGTAAACAACAAAGTCGTATTGTATCTTACCCCTACTGCACACTGGAAGCATCAGCGGCGCGGAACGGCGCCGCTTCAAATAGAATCCATTTTAGAGTGTTACAAACCAGCCGCAAAGCAGCGATTTTCAGACGCGTCCCAGAAGCGGCATGCCTCTAAAAATAGGGCCGGGTTCTTTTTTTTTTTGCCACGAGCTGCTTCTGCTATGCGTACATTTCCGCAGTTAACATCAGGCTAGACAGGAAGACATACGGTTTCAGCATAAAATCCCCGGTAAATTTCAAAATAAAAGTAATGCATCTATGCATTTATATATATATGTAGCTTACGTGCGACCCAACGACTTATTTACTCGCAGTATTATACCAGAAGTGCAACGGTGTGTTATTTGTGTCTTTAATCACGGCAGTGAAGAGGAACAGCATCATGTGTGACATCAAACAGCGATAGCAATGAGATTTCCTTCTTTTTGGTTTAACGGCAGAGTGCACAAACAAACCAGGACCTTTGAAGTCTTGCGAGGAGCACGGCAGAGAAGCCGCCCGTTGTGCACCGGAGTGCTGTGATTGTCGCGAGTAAACCTTTCCGTTGCTGTTACGCACCGCTGATGCTTCCAGTGTGCAGTAGGGGTTAGAAACGATTACGTATGACAAATGGCTCGCATTTATGCCTTTCAGAGTCATGTATACACTACAGAGTATACATGACTGAGGAAGTTTTTTTCTTCTCCAACACAATGATGCTCTTTAGCAAAACCGCGCACATGGTTTACTAAACAGAAAGAGAAATTTTACATCAATTTCAGTATTTTTAAGATTTCTATATTTGACCCTTGCTGGGCTCCATAGCGTTCAAGTGAATCTCAGTTTGAAACATGATCTGAAGGCATTTATATAATTATTCAAGCAATGACCTCCAAGTTGGACCAAGATTAGCATAAATGCTGTATCTAAGAACAAGAGTCCCCTTTTCCCCACCTGAGTCCATAAACCAGAACATTCCACTGAATATTCCTTGTTCAGAAGGCCTGCGGAAGAATTGTCATGTTGACACAGAATGTGAACAATGCTAAACGTCCACATCCTGTGTAGACAGGTGATTTTAGCTGTGGGTGTTTTTAAGCTTCAGCAGCAGGAAGTGAGCTTTGGTTTAGGGTGAACTGTGAAGGCTGTTGTGGACAGTGAGGTTCTTTAGTGTGTGCCTTTTTGTCTTTCACCCTTGTTATAATTCACGGCTGTTAGATGCAAATCGACTTCTCAAACTTTTGACTTTGTAAGCTTGTAAGATATTGTGACGTCACAGAGTTTTTTGCCCTCTTATCTCCACTTCCTTAACATATGATTCACAGCTTAATGTATGTTGTAAAGACAAAACTCTTTAATTTAATGCAAAATGTAATTAAAAAAAGAAAATAAAATTCTTGTCATGAAGACTGTGACATGTGAGTGACTTTTTCACCTGTTTCCCAGCTTCAGGCTGTCCCTTTAACACGAGTTTCTTAGCTGTGGAATTTAATGGTGCACCAAATCAAAGACCCGTTTCATTCGGGGATTTGAGACTTCTTTTGATGAAGAATACTTTTAAGAATAACACTGTCCTCGTGAAACCCCAACACCTTCGCCCTTAGGATCTGAGAAGAACATATATTTAACTTCTAATTCCTGCCAAGTTCAGGTCACTGTTAGTTTTTTATCCGTAGAAGTGGAACAAACAGTATTTGTCTAAAGGAAGATTCTTATTTAATCTTTTAACTGGACGTCTACCAGCTGAAAAAGCACCTCCTAGTGGCTGGTTCTAGTACATCCATCCATCCATCCATCCATCCATCGCCTGAACCCGCTTTGTCCAAGTAGGGTCGCGGGGGGGGGGGGGTATCTCCAGCGGTCAACAGGCAATCAGGCGGGGTACACCCTGGACAGAGAGCCAGTCCATCGCAGGGCAACACAGAGACACACAGGACAAACAATCATGCACACACACACACACCTAAGGACAATTTAGACAGACCAATTAACCTAACAGTCATGTTTTTGGATTGTGGGAGGAAGCCGGAGTACCCGGAGAGAACCCACGCATGCACAGGGAGAACATGCAAACTCCATGCAGAAAGATCCCAGGCTGGGAAGCGAACCCAGGACCTTCTTGCTGCAAGGCAACAGCTCTTACCACTGTGCCACTGCGCAGCCCGGCTCTAGTACAAAAACGCATATATATATATATAAAGAGAGAGAGAGAGAGAGAGAGAGAGAGAGAGAGAGAGAAAGAGAGAGAGAGAGAGAGAGAAAGAGAGAGAGAGAGAGAGAGAGAGAGAGAGAGAGAGAGAGAGAGAGAGAGAGAGAGAGAGAGAGAGAGAGAGAGAGAGAGAGAGAGAGAGAGAGAGAGGAGAGAGAGAGAGAGAGAGAGAGAGATGTCCAAATATCAGGAAATAAGACTCCAAAACCTGCCGTCTGACACTCAGCTGTGATGTGGCTCACTTCTAGTTCCTGGAAATGGTTAAACAGTCCCCCCACTCTACTTCCATACCTTTAAAAGGTCTTTTCAAGTTTAATTCAAACTAAAATTATATATAGAACTGCATCTCCTGAACAATTTGTGGAAAACGACTTATGAGTGAGTGATGTTTATTTGACATGGACACAGCAATTACATTGGACGAACCAGATGCATTGTTTAGTGTGTTAGCACATGTGCTAATTTGCAACACTTGTCCATAGAACCTTTCTAAAAAGTAGACCACATTTAAATAAAATACAAAGAGATCAACAATAAATCAAAGAGAAAACAGGATGTAACATCCAATTAATTGTAGAGGTATTTGGGTTGAGCTGCAATAAGCTTTATGCTCCCAGTAAATAAAGAATAATAATATCTTAGTGATGCTTCAGTGAGTGTCATTTCTTGATGTCTATGGTCTCTTTACCCAGTGGTTATGTAAGGCTCATGAAAATAAATCAATCAGCTGGGATGTTTGTGTGGGTTTAATTCACACTAATGCATCTAGGAAGTATAAATATGTTCTTCAGAAGCAGCCACTGTAAACGCTGCACATCTTTCTGCTGTAAATCAGCAGAAATCAATTAGACTGGGCTCTCCATCCATCCATTTTCATCTGCTTATCCGGAGTCGGGTCATGGGGGCAGTAGCCTGAGGCGAGAGGCCCAGACTTCTCTGTCCCCAGCCACTTGGGGCAGCTCCTCTCGGGGAATCCCAAGGCGTTCCCTGGCCAGGTGAGAGACATAGTTCCTCCACCGTGTCCTGGGTCTACTTTTAGGTCTCCTCCCGGTTGGAAGTGCCTGGAAAACCTCACCAGGGAGGCGTCCAGGAGGTATCCTGACCAGACGCCCAAGCCACCTCAACTGGCTCCTCTCGATGTGGAGGAGCACCGGGTCTACTCCGAGCCCCTCCCGAATGACCGAGCTTCTCACCCTATCTCTAAGGGAGAGCCCAGCCACTCTTCGGAGAAAACTCATTTCGGCCGCTTGTATCCGCAATCTCATTCTTTCGGTCACTACCCAAAGCTCATGACCATAGGTGAGGGTAAAAACGTAGATCCACCGGTAAATTGAGAGCTTTGCCTTCTGACTCAGCTCTCTTCACCACGACAGACCGGTACAACGCCCGCATCACTGCAGATGCAGCACCAATCCGCCTATCGATCTCATGCTCCAGTTTTCCCTCACTAGTGAACAAGACCCTGAGATACTTAAACTCCTCCACTTGGGGCAGGACCTCATCCCAGACCCGGAGAAGGCATTCTACCCTTTTCTGAATCAAGACCATGGTCTCAGGTTTAGAGGAGCTGATTCTCATCCCAGCTGCTTCACTCTCGGCTGCGAACCGCTCCAGCGAAAGCTGAAGATCACGTTCTGATGAAGCCAAAAGGACCACATCATCTGCAAAAAGCAGAGACCTGATCCTCAGGCCACCAAAATGGATATCCTCCACACCTTGGCTGCGCCTAGAAATCCTGTCCATAAAGGTTATGAACAGAATCGGTGACAAAGTGCAGCCTTGGTGGAGTCCAACTCTCACTGGGAACGACCTCGACTTACTGTCGGCAATGCGGACCAAGCTCTGACACCTGTCATACAGGGACCTAACAGCCCGTATCAGAGGGCCTGGTACCCCATACTCCCGGAGTACCCCCCACAGGACCCCCCGAGGGACGCGGTCAAACGCCTTCTCCAAATCCAAAAAACACATGTAGACTGATTGGGCAAATTCCCACGCACCCTCCAGGATCCCCCTAAGGGTATAGAGCTGGTCCAGTGTTCCACGGCCAGGACGAAAACCACATTGCTCCTCCTGAATCTGAGGTTCAACAATCTGACGGACCCTCCTCTCCAGAACCTCTGAATAGACCTGACCAGGAAGGCTCAGGAGTGTGATCCCCCTGTAGTTGGAACACACCCTGCGGTCCCCCTTTTTAAATAAGGAGACCACCACCCCGGTCTGCCAGTCCAGTGGGACTGCCCCCGATGTCCACGTGATATTGCAGAGCCGCGTCAGCCAACACAGCCCCACAACATCGACTAGCACACTGCTGCTAACCACTAATACATTCTCCCCCTCCTGATAATAACTTTTTGGTTTCCTTGACTTTTGATGTGCTAATACTAGTTTATCCGTTTAATTATAGTTCCACTAGGATAAATACAATAAAGTTTATCTCTCACCAAATAGAATATTTACTAAGACATCACAATATAACTATAGACACATTACTTGTGTGTGTGTGTGTGTGTGCGTGCGTGCGTGCGTGCGTGCTCTGTCTTCTCGATCCCCAGTGAGTCGTGGAGGATGGCTGCTTATACTGAGCCAGGATTCTCTGGAGGTTTCTTCCTGTTAAAAGGGAGTTTTCCTCTCCACTGTCGCTATATGCTGGCTTAGTATGAGGATTGCTGTATAGTCACTGACACTAGTCAGTGACTTGATGCAATTTGCTGGGTTCCTTATATAGGAAACATTATTTCTGATTGGCTTAATGAACTGACCTGAATTGGAATGTTTATTATGTGAAGTGCCTTGAGACGACTCCTGTCGTGATTTGGCGCTTTATAAATAAACTTGAATTGAATTGAACATCCAGAGCCTTAAGGAACTATGGGCGGATCTCATCCACCCCTGGAGCCTTGCCACACAGGAGCTTTTTAACCACCTCAGTGACCTCAGCACCAGAGATTTGAGAGGCCAACCCAAAGTCCCCAGACTCTGCTTCCTCACTGGAAGACGTGTCGGTGGGATTGAGGAGGTCTTCGAAGTATTCTGCCCACCGATACACAACGTCCTTAGTAGAGGTCAGCAGCACACCGGCCCCACTATGGATAGTGTTGGTAGCGCACTGCTTCTCTTTCTTCAGCTTGACAGCATCCCTAACCGCCGGTGTCCACCAGCAGGTTCAGGGGTTGCCACCACGACAGGCACCGACGATCCTGCGACCACAGCTCCAGTCGGCTGCCTCAACAATGGAGGCACGGAACAGGGTCCATTCAGACTCAATGTCCCCGCCATTTTGGAAGTTCTGTCGGAGGTGGGAATTGAAGCTCCTTCTGACAGGAGACTCTGCCAGATGTTCCCAGCAGACCCTCGCGATACGTTTGTGCCTGCCCAGTCTGACCGGCATCCTCCCCCACCATCTGAGCCAACTCACCACCAGGTGACAGCTCCGCCCCTCTCTTCACCCGAGTGTCCAAGACATGCGGCCGCAGGTCAGATGAAACAACAACAAAGTCGATCATCGAGCTGTGGCCTAAGGTATCCTGGTGCCAAGAGCACATATGGACACCTTTATGTCTGAACATGGTGTTCATTATGGACAATCCATGACTGGCACAGAAGTCCAATAACAAAACACCACTCGAATTCAGATCAGTGGGCCCGTTCCTCCCAACCACACCTCCCCAGGTCTCACTGTTGTTGCCCACGTGAGCGTTAAAGTCCCCCCAGCAGAAATAGGGAGTCACCGGAAGAAGCGCTTTCCAGCACCCCCTCCAAGGTCTCTAAAAAGGGTGGGTAGTTTGGTGCATAAGCACAGACCACAGTCAGAACCCGTCCCCCCACACGTAGGCGGAGGGAGGCTACCCTCTCATTCACTGGGGTAAACCCCAACGTACAGGCACCAAGATGGGGGCAACTAGTATGCCCACCCCTGCTCAGTGCCTCTCAGTGGGAGCAACTCCAGAGTGGTAGAAAGTCCAACCCCTCTCAAGGAAACTGGTTCCAGAGCCAGAGCCATGCGTTGAGGTGAGTCCAACTATGAATGAATGACCCGCACTTGTATAGCGTCTCTCAGAGAAAGGACTCCAAAGCGCTTTACACTACAGTGTATCATTCATCCATTCACACACACATTCACACACTGGTGGGGATGAGCTACGATGTAGCCACAGCTGCCCTGGGGCGCACTGACAGAGGCGAGGCTGCCAAGCAG